AGGGTCTATTTTGAGATATACTGGGATTATTATCCCCATTTTATAAACAGGAAACTAAAGCATGAAAAGGTTAAATATACAAAATAAGGTCAGGCAACTAGAATGCAGGTTTGTCTAATTCTAAAGTCTACACTATAACTTCATTTCCAAAGTTCTAACAGTGAGAGTGGGTAACTGCAATTCTTTTCTGATAGTTTTTTTAAAAATCTCAATTCCTTATTCTCTCTGATTTTCCTCTATTCTTTTAATCTATACATTACATAGAAAGTGTTCCTGTTTAGGTTGTTAACATTTTAAATGTTTCTTTTACCAGTTTTAGTAAAATACACACAAGATTTATTTTTCTTAGTAAAAATGAACTGATTAAGCAGCTCAAGTCATTGTGAAAAAGGGGTATTTTATATCAAAGGGAGCAAACATTGACAGAGGGCCCAATAATAAGTCAAAGTTAATGCATAACTTTAGTCTTATGCCATATTAAATGTCCAATAGTGATAAAGAATTCTTTTTTTTTTTTTTTAATTTCCAAGAAAACTCTTGGAGAGTCTAAGCAAATGTGCTCTGCAATACATGGATGACTTAGGAGAAATAATAGAAAGATCTTAATTTTAGGTTATAATTCACCTATTTGCATTATTTTTGTTAAAGGAGGAAAAGTAAACAGTCATTAGGATAAAAATGATACAAATTTGTTGAGTTAGTAAAGGCCTTTTGGCATTTACAGCAATCCCCCCAAAAATAAAATGTTTAGATAAAAACAGCAGGAAAAAAATTAGTTCTGAATGGGTTATGATTGCATTTATGCCCATAAATTGTTTGGGTTTTTATCCAGGACAGTGGTGACAATGAGAAAGTAGATATCAAATATTTAAAAGATTTCATATATTCACTCATATTAGCTCTCCACAAGGTTTTTCACCTCCTTAAACTTCACTATTTCCAAAAATCAAATGAATATTCTGGAACCAAATAACATAGTATTTGACATTAAAAACTCAATGGATGGGTCTAACAGCAGATCAGAAACAGCAGAAGTCAGGAATAGTAAACCAGAAAAATGGCCCATAGAAAACGTCCAAACTCAACCTAGTATTTTTTTCTTTTAGTGAGAAAAACTAGAGTGCCTTATAAAACATATCTTTTAAATAATTAGTTCTAAAATGATGAAAGCCCTGTGTTTTCAATCAAACTGCTTAAATTATTTTAGGTTACTTGTAACTGATATTTGCCATATCTCATTAAACTACAATGAATACAAATGTTGTCAAAATCAGCATACAGAAAATTTGAGAATCACTTTGAAACACTTCATGAGTCATAACCAAGTGCCTGGCTAGCATCTTCTTTACAACTACACACTCTGAACATGCAAATGTCTGTCTATATGCTTCCCTTGTGTGACAAACTTTCACTGAGTCAAAATCATTTTTCCTGAGTCAAGAGATGAATATGAGCATAGGTAGGAAAGCCAGACAAGGCTCAGCCTAAAATTTAGGCTGGATGGGGCATGGAAGAAGATGCAAATGAAGAGCAAAAAATATCTCACCCATTGAACACCTGACATGCCACATGGTGAAAACTTCTTTTCTGACTGCAGATAGTTGGTATTGTGACAGCACACATATAATACACACTTCCCTAAAGAGCACCTCATAGCATTCATTAGGGTCCTCAGTGGAGGGCTAGTCCCTTTTAAGTCAAGGAGAGATGCCAATGTGTGAGGGAAGTGTGTTCTTTGAAACTCTGTGCCTTCCTTAACCTTACAACCTCACTGATCACACCATCGGATTTTCAGGTGGATCATTTATATTACTGGGGAGGATACATCAGAGGGATGAAGCTGGACACACAGATATTTCTTAGGCAGTTACTCAACTAGTCCAGGAAGTGGCTTAGGGTTGAAAAGGAGGGGTAATTTTGAGAAATACTTAAGAAATAAGATTGTTGGACTTGGCTGTGTGACATGAGCAAGAAAGAAAAAGTCCTCTTAATCATTATCATACAGGTACAGTACCCAGGGCTTGCCAGGGTCTAAGAAAAGTGAGAAATACAAAAACATAAAAAATATGAAACATGAAAGATATGGCTCCAAAACACAAAAAAAGAAAATTATAAAACTAAAGCTAATTTCAAAAGCAATTTACATAAAATCTTTACACAATTTTAACAGCAGAAAATATGTATTTGATATGAAGTACAGTGTGTGGTATAATGTAAGGTAGGGGCCTCTAGATGAATAGTGCCAGGCCTTACAAATATACAATAAAATATACCTAAAAGAAAAAGTGAAAATAATTTCTTGGTTTCTGTTTCATGGAATTGACTGATAATAGTGTCACCAGCTAACAAAGGAAATATAGATACCACAGCATATTTGGGAGAAAAGCGTTGAGTTCAGTTTTAGATATATTGAGATTGAGGTGTCTACGAGGAATCAAGTTCAAGGACTTATTCCTAATTTTAGAGGCCCCAGTTGACACAGTAGATGCATAAAGAACACTGATGGGTATAAAATAGACAAACTGGATACCCCTTAATGGATTATGTGTATGTTAAAAACAAACTGATGTGAACTGGGAGAATCATCAGGTGAAATGCGAGTATCAGATAAGAATAATACATATATCAATATAACTTCTATTTCAGATTTTGCCTAACACTTCTCAGCCATACAATAAGTTTAAAACAAGGAAACTGTCAATCATATTTGGGCACATAAATTACTCAATGTATATTATGAGTAAAATTCCTCTATCTATGACCATTACAGCCCCCTTTTACTCACTATTATTTCTTTTCCAAGTAATGATTTTATGGCAATTTTCAGTAACAAAAGAAAGGCTGTAAGTTACCCCAGAGATATGAATTTGAAACATTACCATCAAGATTTACTGGGCCAAAGTGGATGGGAAGTGATTATAAATGTAAAGCCATGAGTAGAAAGAGAGAGGGCAAGAAGGCGGGAATGAGAAAGAGATAGGAAGGTCCGGGTGCTACTTTTCTCCAAACTAAATCCTTAGCCTTCAAATATTTGCTGGTATCAGCTGGTGAAAACTGTGTGACAGATATAAGATGATAGGCAATGTGGTGTAATGTGGTGAAAGTACCTGAATTTTGCAGTTAGGAAAAATTGAGTTCAAATTAAAGTTTTATAACTTCTATGTGATCCTGGAGAAATGCAGGGGAAATGGCAACCAAGGGGAAAGAAAGAGAGGTTTCTGTTTCTCATTTTACCCCACCTTCTTCCTTCCTTATTTTGGACCACCAGCATTTACATCAAAGCTGTTTACTATAGACAATCAGATGACCAGACTATTTGGAAATACGGTGGTGAAGAATTCCAGAATTATAGTATGAGTAGAAAGATGAAGAAACTAACTTCAAGAAATTCTGTGATTTGCCCCACATCAGTCTTCTATTTCAATTAATGATAAATTAAATAGGTATTTGAATTACCATACCAGAATTTTTTTTCCTATATACCACAATTTAAACCTGAAAAAAACAGTATAATTAAGTAATTGAAGGGGAATTTACACTTTATAATTTACCATAGAAAGCAAATTTCCATGAACTCCTGTGGCAAGCTCTATTCTCCAAGTATTTAATTATTTCAGCATTCAGTATGAAATAATACTGAATTACATCATTCTATTTAACAGAAAGATTAATATCAAATCTTGTGGACAGGAATCAGAGCAGGCCCTGCTCATTCACACAGGTGTAAGTGATTGGAGAAGGAATTAGACATGTTAGTCCTAAACATTAACATCAACTTTCTTTCCTCTATTTGTGACTACCAAAAGAAATTTCATATATTTGATCTCTGTCTTCAGAAGTCTCTGCTTTTAAGTCTTTTCCAAATAGATGAATGTATACATGAATGAACAAATAAAGGGATGAACAAAGACAACAGATAATTACTCTAAGCCTTTGGTGAGGCAGCAATGTAGAAAAATTAAGAGCAAAGACTCCGAAGTCAGACAATCTGGGTTCAAATAGCAGCAATACAACTTATTAAATGTGTGACCTTCACCAAGTTACTCAATCTCCATCCAGGTCATCTGTTTCCTCATCTGTAAAATGGGAGGTAATAACAATACACAGAGTTGTTGTGAGGATTAAATGAGGTTAGAGGCCTGGCATAAGGTAAGTACAATGGATAAGTATGCTCTTGTATTACTGTTCTTACTGTTGGGTTATTACTGCAGGATTAACAGGAGTATTTGTTTCTGGGCACTGTACTGTAAGCTAAGAACAGCCAAAACACTAAGTGAAGATCAGCTGATAGGGAAGAGCCAAGAGCTCCCAAGAAAAACTGCTCCAACCAAAAGGCAACCTAAGAGAGATGGCACTGACTTTAGCTTTACAAGTTATGAAGATCTTTTCTCTTGGTCTCTTTCCTTATTCAAGAAATTGATGGAAGCTGACAAGCTAGACAAACAGTAAAGAAGGGGTAAGATGGAATGGAAGGAAGCAGCTCCCACAAAATGCTTTAAAAGTTGTTTAGGCCAGGTGTGGTGGTCCATGCCTATAATCCCAGGACTTTGGGGGGCTGAGGTGGGTGAACCACGAGGCCAAGAGATCAAGACCATACTGGCAACATGGTGAAACCCCGTCTCTACTAAAAATGCAGAAATTAGCTGGGAGTGTTGGCACACGCCTGTAATCCCAGGTACTCAGGAGCTGAGGCAGGAGAATCGCTTGAACCCGGGAGGCGGAGGTTGCAGTGAGCCGAGATCATGCCACTGAAAGCCTGGCAAGAGTGAGATTCCGTCTTAAAAAAAAAAAATTTAAAAAAAAAGTTTCTCTATTCTTAATTACTGAGTGCTACCATTCACGAGGAATTTTTAAAGGGTCTCAAAGCTATTAAAATGGTAATTAGATCCCAAGAAAACAAGAACCAATTCAATTACATGCTGGATGCTTTTAAAATTGAAAGCCCTCTATTAAGAGAGTTTTAAATAAAGCACAGTAGTAATTGCAGGCCCATGACCAACCTTAAAGCCAAAGTGTAGGTCCCTGGCTGCCGCTGGCTCTCCCGGATGAGGTAGCTCCCCTCAGCCACAATCAAGAGCTGGTCGGCTGCTTCTCTGGAGATCATGCCATGAAACCTAAGAAACAAAGTCTATTCAGAAACTGTGCTTTCTACATTTTTCAATAAAACAACATAAAACAACATCCCACTACCACCACCTTCTCCTGTTGTTTTCTAGACAAAGTACTGCCACATAATGGAGGGGAAGCACTTGGGTTTAACTATGCTTGTGTTTCTCTGGGCCTGGCCCCCAGCCAGCTTCTCTGTGGTGATAAGAACAGCACCAAAGGACTACCCAATCCAGTTAACAACCATGGAATCAAAATCCACAACCATCTAAGGGAAGATCAACCACCTCTCTCAAGAGGACAATTCCTTTCTTATGTATCCATTTAACCATACGGCTTGCTTAAAAAAAAAAAAAAAAAACCACCCAGAAATGTATCCTATTTTCCTTTCTTCCCATTAGTAGCACTGCTCCAAAATTTTGGCTCTGAGTCCATGTTGGCAATTTTCCAGGACCCTGGGTTGTCCTTAATTGGCATGATTGCCCAATAATGTGCATAATCTGCGTTACTGAATACTCAAGCCCAAAGCAAACAAGTATAATACTTGTTTTCATTCCCTGCTAAAACCTTATCTTTGATTAACACAGAAAAATAGAGAAAGAATAAACATAAATAACATAAATAACATGCTCTTTACACAAACACAGATGAATCTATAACAATCTGGCATAAAACACTGAAAAAAAATGTCGGTGACACATATTAAAAATAAAAAACCATCTTACATTTGTATAGCGATTTACAATTTACAAAGAACCTGTATGTCCTTGTATAACTCAAAGATAATGAAGGAATTCAGGACATGTCACCCCAAAATATGCCACTTTGCTGTATCAAGTATTTTGAGCTGAAGGCACTTAAAAAATATCAAATGCAGAGACAGGCTTTCTCTGACTCTCCCTATCTACCTAAAGACAGATCATCCAAAAGGAACTCAATTGTTATCAATGCCCTCCCATCAGTTTCAGCAACCAGGGAAGACTGACTCTCATAGAGGAGAGGAGACTAAAAGTCAACAACCTACTCAGACAAACTCTGTCACAAACTACCATTTACCTTCCCGTCAATGGCCAGAAACTTCCCTCCCATTCCCGTTATGATGGCATACAAACTCTCAAATCTCACTTTTTGGAGTGGTATTCACTTTATTTTTTTCTGTGATGCCCCTGTGCAAGTAGTATTAAAAATTAATAAATTTGTATACCTTCTCTCCTGTTAATCTGCACATTGTTTGCTTATTTCATAGACCCAGCTCTCAAACATAGGAGGTAGAGGGAAAGTCTTTCCTCCCCTACAATAACCGCAATGACCCACTGCTCAAAAGAAATTTTGCTGCTTTTACTGGTACTAAAGAAACAATAGTCACTTGAATTTGGAATGATACATTTAAAAGGCGTTGAAATGGCACTTTAAGAATTCAGGAACATTATGAGGGACAACAGGAAATTTTCTGGAGTTTTTCCTGATAGGGATGGTTCAGTCTCTCAATTTAAGTCTTCAAACAGTTCACAGTAGGCATGTTCAAATCATGACAGCTAGGTTTACAATGGGCTCCTGAATTTCTTATCTCCATAAATTTCCCAATCTTTGAGAACTAGGTCCAAAGGCTAATGCTCTGAATCTGCTGGAAGCAAGGAGATGGTAACCTATCCCTTGCTATTTAGCACATTGGTATATATTTTAACTTTACATAATATCAAATAATACAGTTGGTAAAATATAGTTATCTATTTGTTTAAAAATTCAATTAACTGGCCAGGCACAATAGCTCATGCCTCTAATCCCAGCATTTTGGAAAGCCAAGGCGGGTGGATCAACTGAGGTCAGGAGTTTGAGACTAGCCCGGCCAACATGGTGAAACCCCGTCTCTACTAAAAACACAAAAAATTAGCCGGGCGTGGTGACAGGTGCCGGTAGTCCCAACTACTCGGGAGGCTGAGGTAGGAGAACCGCCTGAACCCAGGAGGTTTTGTAATTTTTAAAACCTCATGGCAGGCTGGGTGCAGTCGCTCATGCCTGTAATCCCAACACTTTGGGAAGCCGAGACGGGTGGATCACCTGAAGTCAGGAGTTCAAGACCAGTCTGACCAACATGGTGAAACCCCGTCTCTACTAAAAATACAGAAAATTAATGGGGCGTAGTGGTGGTGCCTGCAATCCCAGTTACCCAGGGGGCTGAGGCAGGAGAATCGCTTGAACCCGGGAGGCGGAGGTTACAGTGAACCGAGATCGCACCATTACACTCCAGCCTGGACAACAAGAGCGAAACCCCATCTTAAAAAAAAAAAAAAATTCAATTAACTTAAAAGAAAACAAATTCTGAAACAAAACTTGACAATATATTTAAAGAATTTTAAAACTATTTGCACAAGTTAATCAAAAATTTCTAACTCCCGAAGACCCCATGTACTGAGATGTTTCCTACGGTGTTACTTCCAATAGTATAGTTTAAAAGCAACCTATAACACCAAAAGCAGAAGAATGACTATATAAATTACAATACAACTGTACTGTAGAATACCAGTGGTTCTTAATTTTGAAATCACCCTTTCATCAACTCATAGGTGTGCATCTGTAATCCATTCCTACGTCCTGAAAACATACAGAATTTGAAATCATTTAAAAATATTTGTTACATATACTTTTATCTGATATGATCTCCAGTCATAAAAAACAATTTTGAGGAATGATGAGATTATGAGTGATTTTTATTCTTTTCCTCAAAGTGCTACATTTCTGTTTTTCAATAACCTGAAAAATTAAGGACTTTAAAAATCATTGCATTTTTCACAAAACAGAAAAATGCTCGTTGTCAATTTTAAATGGTAACAATCAGGCTATAAAATGGTATGTATAATATCTCAATTTGGTTCAAATCCATTGGGAAAATATTTCTTCAGATAGTAATACTTCAAATTGTTAACATTAATTGCTTCTCAGTAGCATGAATTATATTTTTCTCATAATAAATGCATACTATTTAAGAAAATCTGAAAAATAAAAATATATAGAATAAATCACTCACATCCCACTGTACATACATGTGTGCATATGTACATGTCTATATGCCTAATATACATGTACAGAAAAACACAAATATGTACATTTTTCTCATATACATCTAAGATTATTTACTTGTATGGTTTGCATCCTTAACATTATTGCATGTACATTTTCCCATGCTATTTTCTTATTTATGCTTGTCTTTGTCTATATTGTTCACCAATTAGATCACATTAGAAATTTTTAAGAAATAAATGTCACTCCACCGAACTTGAATACTTCTTCCTCTTGCTTTCATTTAAAAGCATCCATTTACCCTGTCTCTTTTACATATGCCAATCTATAAAATTATTTCTAATAATTCATACTTACTCTCTTCCATAATACTTTGGTCTGTTTTCTACCTATTGGGAAGGGAAAAAAAGGCATATTTGTAAAAATGCAAATGTGCAGAACATAATTCAACATTTTGTGCATGTGACAAACTAAAGCATATATTAAAAAAAGAATTCAAATAACAGAGTATGGAGTCCCAGTTCTACCAGCAGGTTACCTGTGCCATTTGGACTGGTCACTTCATCTCTCCAGACCTATTTCTTATTTATAAAATGCTGTGTATGTAGTTGGACTAAACTATCTTTAATTTCTAGAATCTAATGAGCTGAAAAAATTTCACTTTATTCAAGAGTAAACATAACACCCCAAAACATATAGCCACAATTGTGACACACTCAACTGTAGCTTTCTCCCCCGTCCTCCCCTGCTATTCCTCTCCCTCTTGCTCCAGACTCTCCATTCTGTTAGCATCTCCATATACTCTTGCCCTTCTGTTCTCCCATCATCTCTTCCCTCACCACAGCTTGTCAGGGCATGCGTGCTGGCTACAGCTAAGAAAAGCCCCAGCAAGATAAATGCCCAGGAATTTTCACAGGAAGATTGAGGGCATGTACCCCACTCATTCAAAATACACTCACTGAACAGCAAACATGTGACAGGCATTGTTCTACCTGCAGGGACACAGTACTATATAAGACCAAAATTCGTTCGGAACTTACATTCTAATAGTGACAGACAGATAATAAAGAAGTTTAAAAAACAAAATAGAAAGTAGTAGTAAATACTGTAATGAAAATAGGAGTGGGTAACAAAAGGGAAGACCAGTGAGGTACTTATTAAGCTGGGTGGTTAGCAAAGCTCTCTCTGAGATGACATTTAAACTGAGTCCTGAATGACAAGATGCGAACTCTGACTACAAAATCACAGGAACAGCAAAAAAGCTTTTCCCTAGTAGGTATTTTGATGACACCACGTACTATGTTATTGAGCTCCTGCTATTTGCTACGCGTTTAGTTACATTTAAAGATCACTGATTCCTCAAAATAAGAGGAATTATTCTACTTTTTATGAAATAGTACTATCATCTTCATTTTATTTATTTTTCTTGGCAAAATTCACCTTTTCTTTTAAATGTGCTTATAATTAACAAATAAAAGGGGTATGTGTGGTGTATTATGGTATATGGCATGATGTTGTGATATTTGTATATATTGTAGGATGGCTAAAACAAGCTAACTAACACACATTACTTCACATACTTATTTTTTTGTGGTTAGAACACATAAAATTTACCCTCAACAATTTTCAAGTATATAATACATTGTTATTAACTATAGTCATTAAGTTGTACAATAGATCTCTTGAACATATTCCTCCAAGCTAAATGAAATTTTGTATCCTTTAACCAGTATCTCCTGAATTCCCTCCCCAACCACATTCTTTCCTTCTCCTTCCCTCTGCCACTGATAACCACTACTCTACTTCTTGCTACTACAAATTAAACGTTTTTAGATTCCACAAGTGAGATCATACAGTATTTGTCTTTCTGGGCCTGCCTTGTTTCACTTAACATAAATAAAGTCCTCTAAGTTCATCCCTGTTGTTGCAAATGACAGGACTTCCTTTTGTATTCAATTTGAAATAAACAGTATTCCACTGTATACTGAAATGGAATATACAGTATTCCATTATGTATTTATACACCACATTTTCTGTATGCATTCATTAACTGATGAACACTTAGGTTGGTTCCGTATCTTGGATACTATGAATAATGCTGCAATGAACATGGGAGTGCAGATATTTCATCAACATATTAATTTCATTTCCTTTGGGTATACACCAACTAGTGAGTTTGCAGAATCATGGTAGTGGAGAAACTGAGCATCCGAGAGATTACGTAACTTATTCAAGGTTACTTGTTCAAACGGTGGGACTCAAGGCACAATTGGGATTCTTAAGAATGGCAAAAAGGGAACACGCCCTCTGTCTATTTAACACTGACTCATGTGAATTTGGTTAAATATGGCAGTTCCCAAAGCAACTCAAAGCCTATATTTTCAGTGATCTTCTCCCTTAGTTCTGCATATAGCTTGCGTGCCAAGTCTGGTATTGTTTTCAGCAAACTTGATATATTTACTCACAGCATAGAAAAACTTTTGTTTCAATAAAAAATTGTTCTTCATCTATAGCAGTGATCCCCAACATTTTTAGCACCGGGGACTGGTCTTGTGGAAAACAAATTTTCCATGGACCGGGGCAGGGGTAGGGGTATAGTTTCAGGATGATTCAAGCACATTGCACTTACGGTGCACTTTATTTCTATTATTATTATATACTCACCACAATGTAGAATCAGTGGGAGCCCTGAGCTTGTTTTCCTGCAACTAGACGGTCCCATGTGGGGGTGACAGGAGACAGTGACAGATCATCAAGCACTGGATTCTCATAAGGGGCATGCAACTTAGGTCCCCTGGCATGTGCAGTTCACAATACGGTTCATGTTCCCATGAGTCTAATATGGCCGCTGATCTGAGAGGAGGCGGAGCTCAGGCAGTAATGTGAACAATGGGGAGTGGCTGCAGATGAAGCTTCACTGGCTCACCTACCACTCACCTCCTGCTGTGCAGCCCGGTTCCTAACAGGCCACACAGTGGTACTGGTCCATGGCCTGGGGACTGGAGACACCTAATCTATAGCATACCCTACTGGCTTATCAGATTCTAGCCCAGTGCCTTGTGTCTGAGCTATTTTGGTGCTGCCTAAGTTGTAGGTAACTAATAGATACATTTTTTCCTGCATATTGGTGGTTGAACTGACTTTTCCCCTACCCTCTCTCCGAGTGGAAAAACTAGTTTTGTCTCCATGTGCAATTCATCTCAATATTCCTTGACTCCATATAAGAGTTTTTGGCATTTTCCTTTCAACTGATTATAACATCTGCCTAGTTCTCTCCTATCTTACGAGTAAAATAAATTTTTAACATGTGTTCATTTTCATATCTATAGGAGAGTCATGATTTTAACTTTTCATAAAAATTATACTGTATTAGTTCATCCTCACACTGTTAATAAAGACATACGTGATGAAACTGGGTAATTTATAAAGGAAAGAGGTTTAATTAACTCACAGTTCCCCATGACTGGGGAGGTTTCAGGAAACTTACAACCATGGCAGAAGGGGGAGCAAACAGGTCCTTCTTCATATGGCGGCAGCAAGGACAAGTGCCAAGCAAAAGAGGGAAAAGCCCCTTATAAAACCATCAGATCTTGTGAGAACTCACTCACTATCACGAGAACAGCATGAAGGTAACTGCTCCCATGATTCAATTACCTCCCACCGGGTCCCTCGCCCAACACATGGGGATTACGGGAACTACAATTCAAGATAAGATTTGGGTGAGGACACAGCCAAACCATATCATATACTTAAATAATACTTTATCCCTCATGAATCTTCTGTTATCTGTGAGGTTGTAGTCAGGTTATTTATTATCTTCCCGAGGTGAGTTCCACCTGATTTGGCCTTGTTCCATAATAATTTCTCTGCTCATAAAACTCAATGTACTAAGAATATGCCAGCTGACTCCTACAGCTACAGATGATGGCTATTCTAGTTTTAGTCCAGAGCTTATAGAGTGGGGTCAGGCAACTGCTTGAGAATAAATCTTTGCTTACGAAGATGAAATTTCAATGTTTAAGTCTTAGAGAATTAATTTTCTATAGCATTATATGATAAAATGTTACTCAAAAGAATCATTTAGCAGTGTTCTTTCCAACTAAAAATGTGAAGATGCTCAGTATTTACTCTAGAGGAAGATATACGTGTACATGTACACATGAAAACGTGCATAAGAATGTTCTCATATGCACTCTTCATAGTCATTTTTTTTTGAGGCGGAGTCTCGCTCTGTCGCCCAGGCTAGAGTGCAGTGGACGGATCTAAGCTCACTGCAAGCCTCGCCTCCCAGGTTTACACCATTCTGCCTCAGCCTCCCGAGTAGCCGGGACTACAGGCGCCCGCCACCTCGCCTGGCTAGTTTTTTGTATTTTTTAGTAGAGACGGAGTTTCACCATGTTAGCCAGGAGGGTCTCGATCTCCTGACCTCATGATCCGCCCGTCTCGGCCTCCCAAAGTGCTGGGATTACAGGCTTGACATAGTCATTTTTAAAATGGGGCAGTCAGACATGGTGGCTCATGCCTGTAATCCCAGTACTTTGGGAGATCAAGGTAGAAGAACTGCTTGAGGCCACAAACTCAAGGCTAGCCTAGCAACACAGCAAGACCCCCATCTCTACAAAATATTTTAAAAATATTTTTTTGGTGGTGGTACGTGCCTGAAGTCCTTGCTAGTCAGAAGGCTGACAGGAGAGGATTGCCTGAGCCCAGGAGGTTGAGGCTGCAGTGAGCCATGATCACATCACTGCACTCTCAGCCTGAGTGACAGAGTAAGACCCTGTCATTCATTTATTCATTCATTCACTCATACATAAACAAACAGAAATATTTTAAATATACACCAATAGGGCAATAACTAACCTGATTTATAATATAAATAACATACACAGTTTGAAGGAATAATGTAGATCTATCGGGACTAATATGGCAAAATCATTAAGACAAACTATTGAATACAAACATAAGTTATGAAATAACAATACAGAATGACACCATTTAGGAAAAAGCACATATACACATGATATGTATTTATGGCATAAATAGAGATCTGGAAGTATGCATACTAAATTCAAATTGTTACCTCAAGGAAAGTGGGTGGAGAACAGACCTGAGGGGGCCAAGGAAAAGGCATAAAAGGAACTTTAATCTTGACCATAATATCATAACTGTTAAAGAAAAATGTATTCATACATTAATTATATACCTAATATTCCCTTTAACAATATAAATTAAGATTAGCTTTTGTGTAACCTAATATCAAAGCTGGAGACACATTAGAATGGGGTCTCCCAACATTTTGAGAAGAGATCATGGCCTTTCCTTCAAATCATGAGAACTTTGAAGGTAGTTGAAGGTATATGGCACTGAAGTTAAAGGAGAGTTTTTGAAA